CATAGATATGGTAAGACGTGGCGGGCAATAAAAAGCTAGTTTTGTAAACAAACTTACTGATTAGTAAAAACACTTTTATAGTCCACGGAGCAATCAATCATGAAAATTAATTATTTAATTGAAGTTCGTATCGAGAACGTGATACAAAACGCTGACCAGCATTTACTGTATATCTATATATCATGCTATTTGTATATATATAGGGTGTATCGATGACCTCATAATTATGCCACGCTCAAAAAGTAAGCCAAAGTACTTAATGCACATCTAACACACACACAAACTTCGTTACAAGCAGCCAATCGAAAAGGTTATCATCAAGCCTATTTAGTTCGAATTATACAAAAACTCGACTACACCGCCAGATCCTTGAACTAGTTTATGACCCAATTGTGCCAAAGTGTCTGACAATTGGGGATGCGTTTGGCGCCGCCCAGAAGCGAAATCGGTAAAGCCACTTGAATGCACTTTAAATGAGCGCCACCCTCCAACCCAATCTATTGGCCCGCTTGCAGCGATTGGCACACGCACATGTTGCACCCATGCTGAGGTGCATTTGAACATTGGCATTTCAGGTCTATTTTCTTTTCAATAAATAAATGAAAACGAGCATAATTCATTTACAGCATGCTAACAATTACGTGCCTGAGTGCGCACTTGTTTGTCTACAAAAGAATAAAATAAAAATAGAATAAATAGAATAAAAAACCCATTCACATGTCCTTTTGCAGTTTTTAAATGGTGTTCGCCCGACATGTTTCACAGAGGCAGCTGTTCGTGCCGCAATTGTGGCACGTGTTACAGGTTTGGGGTCGACTCTAGTTATGAAACGCTCGTTATCTAAAACCTGTTAGCCAAATGGTAGTGCCATGTATAGTGTATACATAAAAGTTTGTTTCAGCTGTGTCTCATTTCATTACCGAATTACAGCCCTTTCATAGCTGGCCCTTGGCCAGCGCCACCTGTCACAAAGTCGTTTACAGCGCCACTTGCAATTGGTCATCAAAAAACATGAGCCGGAATATTGGCGAATGCAAGGCTATGCACGACTAGGCAATACCCAACAATTGTCACATGGCTAGTTGTACTCGAATTTAATAGATGCTTTCTTGAAAATACTTTTTTAGATTTTCTCATTTAACTACTGAAAGTATTGTTAGCTTAGCTTGAACTTTGTGTGCTGCCTTAGGTTCTTTAGTTCGCACACACATTTCGCTCCGTCACAAACTTTCACTTAATCCGGAGGGATCCCAAGCTGCCCTTTGATACAATTTCTGTGTTCGCTACGATTTCGTGGCGCCTGCACCGAAGAACAATTTTTGCCGTAATGCTGTCGCGCTTTTGCCATTTCTCTTAGTCAGAATGCCGCAGGCTGTTGTTGAATTCATGCTAGACATGCCTCCACTTTAATAGTCATTCCCTGTTGGCGAATGTTGCACATCTGCTGTGGCACTCACAGAGAGCTGGCAACATTCCTTTTCGACAGCATTTAACAATTAGTGGGGGAGGGGCAGTGAGAGTAAGAGTGCACGGATACTTGGGTCACGTAAAACTCGTCTAAGGGATTCCACAGAACACTTGAATGCTGCAGTGTGCTGTTAAATAATTATTTCTATTGCTGTCAAAATATATATTTGAAAGCTCGAATTTATATTTTTCACCCCGCACACCTCACACTGTGACTCTTTCTCTCTTGTGACAGCCTCTGAAGTGCTAACAAAGTTCGCAGCAGCTGCTTTTGCTGTGCAATTAATTTTGTCATAATAACTACTTTTCCATACCCTGCAAATTAAGGCATGTTTAAGTAATGCTGTAAATCGTTTTGTTACAGCTTTCAAAATCTAGGAATTTGTCTTTATAGAAGATTATATAAGCTAATGTTCAGCTAATAATGGTCTTTTATCTGTCTTGAGGCATCTCCTGGTCAAACAAATTCCTGGTCAACAGCAAGTCCGCCTTGTGTATTTTGTTATTATAAGCACAAACATTTTTGTGACATTTTCAGTCACTTTATTTTGTTGTTTTAACATAAATTGTTGGTCAAAAAGTCTGCTTCATGGGGATGCAACTTTTGCCGGGCTTAATTTCTGTATGTTGTGTCTGCCCCAGGCGCTTCTCCAAACGCTGAAAAACAATTGGCAAAATGTTTCGGCTGCAGTTCAACTTCTTGGCATTTTTTTTTGTCATATAACTTTGTGTGGCTGTGCATATTTTGTTGTCAAAATACTTATATTTTTGAGGGGAAAAGGAACGCTTATCAGCAATCAAAAGTTGGGCGTGAGTTTTTGAAAAAGTTGAACGCAATGTAAAGTGCATAAATAGCACAAGGACTACTTGAGAACATTAACATATGCACATTTTGGGGACAAGTTTTCAAATGGATGTACATTACAAATATTGTTAAATCGTTATACTATGCAAATTTTTGGCACAAGCCTTAAATGTCCTACCTTATCTTTAACTTCTATGAGAGAATAATAAAAGTTTAAAAATGTATTCATTTAACAGCTAAATGAGACAAATTAAGTAGATATTTGTATATGAATTTTGGGCGTAAGCAATTGTACTTCCTATAAGCAATATTCTTGATTAATAAAATTTATTTGCCTAAAATTGCGTAAAAATTGCCGTGATGCAAACAAACGACTTTAATTTTCCATTGTGGCATTTTTGATTTATTTTTGGATTTTCTTACGTTATTTTCTTACCCACACACACACACATACGGGCGCTCACACCCACCAGCTAAGTAAGCAGGCAATTCATAAATAAAGCGCTGCAATGCCAAAAAATAAATGTAATTTTATTATAATTGGCAGTACGTGCGGCTGCTTGACGTATCATTTGCACACAAATCTGAACCTAAGTGCGCCATAAAAAATGGCGCTTGCCAAGAACTAGGCGCACGACCCGCGGCAATTGCTGTGGCAACAAGGCCAAGGCTGCCAGGTCAACGCACAAATATAATATGTAACAATCAGCAGCCACATGATAGGTGCGCCCGTTCCATACACACATCCCCCTCATTTGTCGTATATCAACACAAATTACGCGTGCACACAATCAAAAAACAAAAAACAAACAAACAAAAAAAACCCCAATAGTATCAGAGGAAAAACGCAATATTTTTGTGTGGCAAAAAAACAAAAGCAGAATAACAAAGGCCACGAAAGCAGCCGAAAAGTGAAATTCAATCAGCAGGAAACAAGAAACGGCATAAATAAGGGCACACAATGTTAATATGGCTGTTGTCTATGCCTTGATTTTTATTTCAATACTTTATTGCGTATACGCAGCGTTATGCAAATTGGTTGTTTACTTAAATTCCAGCTAGCGATGAGCAGCAACAATAGCTTAGCACTCTTTATTTTCAGAGGATAATTTATAATTTATGGTCGAAATTAGTTTTCGGCAACAAACATTTTGTTTCATATTTTATTTTATTTTTTTTTTTTTTTGACTAAGAAAGTTTGACAAGGATTTTCCCCAAAGGTTGGCAGCGGCTTGGAAATGCTGTTTACCCAACGATGAAAGTTTCAACTGATTTTTGATTAAAACTTGCAGCTGCCACGGCGGCTGCTGTACAGAGAAAACAAGGCTAACTAGGAAGGGATGGTTATTATTTGGATAGCATGACCAAGCGTTAAAGTTACAGCCGTAAAAGTTTTATTCAAAAAATAACTAAGCGAGAAATAATGAGAGTCAGTTGAGAGACTGATATATTTCTAGTGATTAAACAGCATTCGCATCCGAATACTGCCAATGGGACTTCGATTTTAATTAAGTTTTTGATGGCCATAGGCGTTGTTAGCTATTGATTGATGGTGTCCAGTGTGCAGGCAGCCCCACTAAATAACAGTACGAATTCTAATTAACACAACAGCCACAGCCACAGCCATAGCCACGGCTGCATGCACCATACACCTGACATGGACAGGTGCACAAACAAAGCCAGCAAAATGAGCAATCCAATAGATGTGCCAATATGTCATGTACGCCTCTTGCTCATCAGGTGGGCGGGGAGCGGTGCAAATCACTCGAATAGTTTTATTTCATGCAGCTTGCAGCTCTCAACAATTGTGTGTGCTCCTACTTTAGCGACAATGCAAGTTGTTTTTCACCTGCTTTCAGTAACCTCGAGTGTTTTTTATTTTCTGTTCAAGCAAATTCCAGGGGCTCGTTTCATAACCATACAGGGCCACATGTATGCTCAAAGCGGAATAAGTGCACTGTCGACCATGCTGCACTTATCTTTACAATTCATTTTTGTACTTTTATTTTGTTTGTTTCTCAAGAAGCATTTTCTTTTCTATTTTGTGTCGTCACGTGCCAGAAACGTGCCCTTTTATTTGCCTAGTGCCATTTTGAGATTGTTTGCGTTTGTTTTTTGTACAAGAAACTGTCCTTTTGACTTGAGAATTTCCTTTTTTTTTTCTTAGCAGCTTTCCTAATAGCAATCAGTTGGGATGAGCGCAAAGGATTGCAAAAAATAACTGAGCTTCTATATTATTTAAATAACATTGGGGGGTTATTTTTTAGTGGATTATTTTTCAAACTCAACCCTTAGCAGTCTCTAATGAATATCAATGGCAATTGTAAATAAAATTGTTGATGTTGGCATTTATAACACTTCATTAAATTCAATGGGGAATCACGAAAAATCATTCAGGCGAATTATTCACTTGAAGCTGAAAAAGTTGCCGGATAATAATGATAGCGTATGTATATGGAGATCTCACAATTTTTCAGCGTACATTTTCAAATTCTGCGTAAAGCTCAATTGATTGGAATTACACGTAGAGTGTGGAATTTCAAAAGGAATTTTGCGAAATATTATACATAATACTTAAAACTACAAAAAATTACGACTATTAGATAATTTGTTAACCAACTAGTTTTTCAGCTTTAGTTGGGACAAAAATAGCTGTTCTTTAATTATTTTTATTTTAATTTTTTATAATTTTAGGCCCCAAATATATTTTGTAATAATTGACACTTACAGCAATCAGTGTTTGTTTTTATTAATAACAGTATTTAAATGTGATTGTTAAAATCAGCCTAAGCTCTGTGCACTATTTTAAAAATTAACAACACAGTTTTTGAGAAAGTTTCCAAAGATTTAATTCAAGCATTTAAAATAGCGTTCCGTTAAAAGTTTTCTGGTTTATTGAAGCCAAGCCGATCGTGCGGCTATTAAAACCGATTCGCGGCGCACGAAATACAAAACACAACTGACAAAACGTTGCCGAAAATTCGCATGATTTTATTCGCAACGAGGAGCCGGAACTGGACTCGGACAATTGACGACGATAATGACGACGACGACGAGGGCGAACGATGCGAAGAATGCGCGATGCCAGCTAAACGTTGCGAGCGGAAACTGAAACTGTGCGCGATTCGCAGCAGCACTTGGCGGCTACTGCTGGCACTAACTTGGCCACAAAGTCGACAACGTTGTTAAGTTCCACAACTGTGAAAAGCAAATTGGGTGCAAAGCAAATGCAAAGTCAGCCAAAGCCAAACAGCGTCTGCAAACGGATGCTCTTAGCTAGGCAAAGGCTCTCTTAAATTTCGGTTTGTTGCGCAGGCGCTTTTCAAAACCAGCTGTTGACAACAGCTGATTGGCCTTTAGCTGTTGCGCTCCACGCACAATGTTTATGTTTTTGTTTTGCTTTTGCTCTGTGCTTTTGCACCTTTCTGTTACTGTTACTGTTGGTGCTTTGCTCTTTGCTTTGTTTCCCATTTGCTTTGTGCTGCACGGCGTTGAGGTTAAGGTCAGTGCAAAAGGCGACAACAGATGGCGCTTTGGCAACATAGCTGTGAATGAAAAGCCTGTTGTGGTTATGGTAATGGCCTAAGCTAATTTATGCAGCCAACACGTCGTATGTGCAATGTGGTTAGAGCCATGTTTAATGTGACAACCACAAATGCTACCATGTGTATAATTGGCAGACAACAAACAAATATTTCCCCTTACTATAAACATAAAATTTATGACATTGGATACTAGTCTGACACTTCATAAAACAGTTCATTTTCTGACTAAGCTATAGCTTAATTTTTGTTTAGCCAAAAAGCCTAAGTGCTAGTTAAGGTCAAAACGCAGTCTGTTCATTGTTGACACGCAAGTCTGACCTTCATAAAATAGTTTATGGTCTGCCTAACTAAGTATATATTCCCCAAACTAAAACTTAAATTCAGTTCAGCTTATAAGCCTAACTGCCAGTTAAAGCCGAATGTCTGTCTGCCCATTATAGAAACTTCACTGACAGTTGTCAGACAACCCGTCTTTCTCAACTGTTCAAATGCGAAGCATTTGTTAGTGCAGGACTTCAGTGTGTTGGCATTGTCGCTATTGTTCTGTTGGATGCGAAATTTATAGCGTCTTTTTATGCAAATGAAGCGTGAAACTGTCGCAGCATCAACAGCAGCGACAAAGCTGTTCCAAGCGCTTATATTGCTCCTGGTCCGGCTGTTTGTTCTGGTTCTGGTCGTGGTTTTGGTTTTGGTTTGGTGCGTCGTCTGGCTGTCATGTTGGCCAACAGATGCGTCTATCAACTTGTGCTCTTGCCTGTTAATCCTTTAATCCTTAATCCTTTAAGACAGCGCATTGTCTGTGCCAATTCAACTCGGCTGGTGCCGCACTTGAGCTGGCACATTGAAATTGATTCAAATTCCGCTAGCTTAAAGCACAATTATGGCCAACACTGACTCGCCTAATGCAGCATTTCCTTTCAAAATGATGAATAATCAGCTTAAATGATAGCAGCAATTTTGAAACACATGACTATTGGATGGAAAAAGAGGTAGAGTGCGGGTGATGGCAGACCGACAGCCGGTCTGTGTGGCCGTGGCCACAAAATGCGGCTAAATTGCAGCCTCATTGGTAATGCAACCAAAAATGCGCCTGCGGCAACGACGTTGCCAAAAATATTTCAGACTTTTCTCGTTAGTGTTTCCGGCTCAGTGGGCTCGGGTCATGCCCCCAAAGTATATCAAAATGTGGCAGCCCCTTAACACATTTGCCTCTACGGCTTATGATGCCGCATGTAGCGAGTGACGTTATAAAGTTTGGGGTTGTGTCATAAAGGCCAAAAGCTAGATACAAATGTTTTGAGCCCTGCAGCTGGCCAATGTGGGGTGGGATGGAGGGTCGCTTAGTTAGCGTAATGGTGGTATTTGGGTCATAATTACAAATGAGTCAAGTTCTAAAATAAATAAATATATATATATATAATTTTCGTTGGCGCGGCTCATAGTTAGAATCACCTTTGGCTTTGATTCGTAAACTTGGCAATTCCCTGAACCCCAATTTAAACTATAGCAACCAGAATTTAAAGTCATATAAAAACATTTCGTTTCTTGTGAATCGCTCATAAAAATATAAAAATAAATCATTATTAAATATCAAAATGATTTTATATATTTTTTAAATGAAATCGCGACTTGAAAAACGATTTGCTTACATATAAAAGTGGGATTAAGGTACACTTCTGTAACATATTCGCGTTTTTATCGCATTCTACCTAAATTCACAACAATAACCAAAAATTCAGGAAAATATATTAAAAGTGGATATAAAATATAAAATATGCCGCTCTGGCGTTTTTCAATTAAATGCAACCAATCGGTAAATTTATAGATGCATATTTTTAGAAAATTCGCAACAATAACAATAAATTATACAAAATCAAAAGAAAAACAAAATAGTTAGCAGCAAAAGGTAACCGAATGAAATGAAAATATTAAACAACAAGAGCATGAAAATATTCGACTCTCTAGCGACCATATCCATAAACATTCCATATATATGATATGTTCGCATGCAACAGCCAACTGAAGATATCTTCGTGTGATTGTAAATAAAAACCAAACATGCGATTTTCACTGGCAGCCCAAACAATTTTTATATTTATTGAGCTGCCTCGCGTTTGCCAATGGCGCACGTGTGGGCGTACATATGGATGCGGATGTGGATACGGATATTTGTGCTGACAGCCGGGAATATCGCATGGCTTACATGCATAACAGTTAGCTGGTCGTTGACGCTATGACATCCACCCTGCTGCACTGCGGCGGCTGACACGATTCCGGCTAAAACTCTGTCAATTACCAGGGCAAACTGTAAAGGTGACAGGCTCATAAGAGTCTATAATGTAACGTTCTTGCCTTTTCTTAAAAACTGTTTATATTGTGTTACGTTAATTTCATCTACAAGCTGTCATTAGCCTAAACATTACTGGACACGTCGCGGGGAGCTTTGCATGATTGTAAACAAATAGAACATCAGATGAATGCTAAACATTGGCGTTGGCGTTTCTTTTCTTTTTTTTTTTTTTGTTTGTTTCAAATTTACAAATGCCACAAAGCATAAACCAACAAAAATGGGCAAAATGTTGTCAGCGAAATTGTTCAATATTTCTCTTGCGTGGGCAGCGACAGTTTTCTAAAGGAAGCGGCAAAGGCGCCAAAGTCAGCGGCGCCCAAATGTGTTTATTTAAATGGGCCGCTACAGGAGCGTGCTGTCGCTGTAGCGGGCCCAAACTGGGGCGCTGCAAAACACAAGTAAGCGAAATTGAAATTAAAAATTTAAAGCAGAAGACATAATTATATAATGAAAAAAATGAGCAAATGGGAGTTAAAAATTCATAATAAATTATTTGGCTTTATTTTGCGCCCCTATTCGATACGAATTCTTTCTGTCGCTGCTGTAAAAAAATCTACGCAGCTTTCGTTACTGAATTAAAAAAAATTTGTAGCAAAAGATTGCTCAGTTTATATAGCTAGATTTATATACATACATATTGCCGTCCATGCCCATGAGTAAATTATTATTTAAAGTGGAAAGCCTAACCTAAGCACAGCTGGGCCCTGGGTATAATAATTCGTGGCGATTTCAATTTGCATTTTATTAGAGCGCCAGCTTTTTTTTTTTTGGCAAAGGACAGTTCCGGAGCTTTATTTGGCCTTGTATATTAATCAAACAGCAACAGAAAATTGCGAGGCGTTACGCGTAAAATAAAAAATAAGAAAATTCCACGGCACATAAAACAGAGCCGCAGGCGAAACACCGCAGCTGCAAGCCATCTAAGTTATTTAACATTACATTCTTGACAACTCAGCTGGTTCTATGGTCTTTATGCTGGAATTTAAATGCTGCAGCGGATGTCAAACTCTATGTGGAGTACGTGGGTTCGTAAGGTCAATCACTTGGTCAGCAGTTCTTTGAATTGACGTGTCGATGACTGCGTTGACAGACTGACGAAATCAATCTCAATAACAAATTTGATTGCATGTGTGCACTTGTCGTATACGTGACTCGCTTTGTGACGTACAATGCTAAAAATAACATGAACATCTATCAATATTTGGATTGCTAAACAAATTGAAATTGGATTATACGTTTCATTGAATGAATGCATTACTTTTCAACGATTCGATAAGAACTATCGATAATCTGTTTAGGCCTCTTTGATAGAGCTTTAATTTTTTGTGCAATTTCTAGTTAACCCAACTTGGTCTTATAAAATTTCGCATTGCCAAAACTATACACTAGCATTTAATCATACTCGCCAGCTAAAGGGCTGTCAGGCTATAAAACAGAAATTTACGAGCAGCCGGATGTGCAGCTACCAGCAGCACTTCGACAAGCTGCTGACCCACATCTGTGTCTTAGTTCTGGCACGTTCGCAACAATTTGGCATATTTTGGATGCGTTCCTTGGAGAAATCTGCGTAATGACGACGGAAACTGGCGACTGGCCGCAAACGTTTTTCTTTTTTTTTTTTTTTACCTGGCTACCTGGAAAAATGTGTACTATTTTATTTCATTTTCTTGTTTTTGTTTCTTGGGCGGCTGGTAATTTTTTTCTTGCAACTCGACGTCTAAGCACAAATTAATTAAAAGCAACAGCTGCGTTGGCAGCGTCTAGGGGCGTTTCAAAGGTCGCCCGGGCATCCTTATAATTTAATCATGCCACAGTTGTAATTATAGCCCACACCATGCGCATTTACAGTTTAGGCGGTGCCGCAAAATGCGGCGCATGAGTTATTCATGCACAACATCAATTGTAAAAGTTCCGGCGAAAGTTGCCAATTGCCCAACGCCAATGGGCACAGCTAGCTGCATATGCAAAATTAATTACAATACAAGTATGCTAACTTTGATTGCAAAATTTCTCTCTAATTGCTGAGGGCGCAACACAAAGGGCAGCTGCTTCAGAACGAATTCAATTAAATTATGCATCAGGCATTGGCGAACAAAATAGGTTTTAAATAAACATTAGCTTTAGAGAGCGGAATTCTTATTGACGAATGAAGAGCAGCTGAGAAGGTCACAGCTTACTCAGCTAGTAGACTGATTACTTTAAGCAGAAATTTATTTTTTTTAATACAATTAGTGCAGTCT